GGTCCGCAACATAGTAGAGGTTTACACATTGGAATAACTACAAGGTCAGCAGTTCGAACCCACCAGATGTTCGTTGGAAAAAAGATGAGGCAAACTTCCCATAAAAATTTACCCAAAGGGGCACTTTTACTATGTCTTATATGGTTGCTATAAGTTGAAATTGGCTTAATGACAGTGGTTTTGTTTTTGTTGCTTTTTTCCTCTCTAAATTATGTCATAACTAACTGAAATAACATTCTAATAATACAAAATCAGAGTTCAGAAATAATTCTTTATTAACTTAAAAATTTTAAAGTGCCCAGAATTAGTATTTTTAAACATGTTGTTGTTTAGTGCCATTGAGTGATTTGCAAATAGTGACTGGTGGGTTTGAACTACAGACCTTGTGGTTAGCAGTCAAATGCTTATCCTACAGTGCCACATGTTGTTGTTGTTTTTAAGTGCCATCGAATCGGTTCCAACTCATAGCGACCCTACATAGGGTTTCTGAGGAGCCGCTGGTGGGTTTGAACTGCTGACCTTGTGGTTCACAGTCCAGTGCTGATCCTACAGTGCCACATCAGGAGTCCACAGCACCGCAGGAGACCTCTGTTACTTTTGTACTCTTCACAGAAGCCATCAGCAGAAATTTCTGAGACTTTCCCCTAATTTATGTCTGTTTCTCCTCCAGATGAGGCTTCACTGCCCTGCCCAAATGAGAAGTGCTCTTTAATCCTGGATTGCAGTGGATTGAATTTCTTTGACTATTCTGGAGTCTCCATGCTTGTGGAGGTATTTACATAGTTTATATTGAATGGATTCCTTCCCTATACTTAAGTTACAGGGGTTTTCACTATCCACTGTGTCAGCTCCAGGATCTATATAACCTGATTTTTTCAGTACTCACCTCTTCTTGTTTTCAGCAAAGGACTTTGGACTTTAAGCCTCCTACCATCTCAGATTTGCTTTCAATCTTCTACTTGTATGTATATGTGGAAGTTGGTGATGGGCATATTCACATAGGGTAGTCAGGGAAGACAGACAATGGACTTGAGTTATGGCTAGGCATAAAACCTGCTGGATAGTCAGTTTAGGAAGCTTATGGAAAGAATGAAAAGTCCCTTTCAGGGCATAGGCTGCATGAATAAGTGGCCTTCATAATTGTTGTTGTTAGGTAATATCCAGCTAGTTCTGACGCATAGTGACCCTATGTACAACAGAATAAAATTCTACCTGGTCCTGTGGGCCTGTGCCTTCTGCACAAATGTTCTTATGTTTGAATTCATTGTTGCAATTACTGATCAAGTCTGTCTTGTTGCTGGTCTTCCCCCTTTTTGCTGGCTATCTACTTTACCAAACATGGTGTTCTTATCCTGGGGCTAGTCTCATCTGATGACATGTCCCAAGTTCATTAGATAAAGTGTTACCACCCTCCTTTCTAAGAAGAACTCTGGCTGTACGTCTTCTAACATAGAGCTATTCATTCTCCTGGAAGTCATGGTATATTTAAAATTCTTCACCAACACTATAATTCAGGTATCAATTCTTCTTTGGTCTTCCTTATTCATTATTTAGCTTTCATATGCATATGAGGCAATTGAAAATACCAGGACTTCTTGGGTCAGATGCATCTTACTCTACAAAGTAAAATCTTTACATTTCTAACACTTTAAAGAGTTTTTTGTTTTGTTTTGTTTTGTTTTAAAGCAACAGATTTGCCCAATGCAATTAGAAGTTGGTGATTGTTGTTGTGAAGTGCCGTTGAGTCGGTTCTGACCCATAGCGACCCTGTGTAGGGTTTCCGCGGAGCAGCTGGTGAGCTTGAACTGCTGACCTTGCAGTTCAAATGGCTTTATAGTCTGGTGCATTAACCCATAGCGCTACACCAGGACTCTGGGAGTTGGTGATGTTGTCATTGTTGTTGTTGTTGTTGTTGTTAGGTGACATCGAGTTGGTTCCTTCCGATAGCGACCCTGTATAGGGATTCCAAGGAGCAGCTGTTGAGCTTGAACTACCGACCTAATGCAGTCTGGTGCATTAGCTCACAGCACCACACCAGGACTCCTGAGTTAGTGATAGCAGGATGTAAAGTCTAACAAGATACCATTCCTGGTTTCCCAAACAGTGTTCGATATAAGGGCTCTTTTCTCTTTGTAACCTTGGGTCTGTCTTATTATCTCCTTGGAGTTCTATGATCAAGTTGTGCAAAAATAAAACACCCTTTATTTCTTTAAAACTGACTTGGCCAATTCAAGGTATACTTTGGACACTTTGGGGATTTTTCTTACTTATGTTGAGTAAATAAAATACTAAGTTAATAAAGAATTAATTCCTTTTCTTATTTATTCCTGTTCTCTCCACCAATCCCTAAAGTTGAGGGTAAGGGAATGTAGAGGTTGGGGCAACATCTGCTCCTCAACTGTCCTCAGTCTTCCAATGGCTTCGATTGCATATGGATCAACTCATGTCATCTTTGGATGTTTGCTCCCCAGTATTTGTTCTTTCCCCTAGAGATTTTTCTTTTCAAGGTATAAGAGAGTCTTACCCACTCGGGCTGTGAACCGCAAGGTCAGCAGTTCGAAACTACCAGCTGCTCCGCGGGAGAAAGATGAGGCTTTCTACTCCCGTAAAGATTTACACCCTCG